AGACAAATGAAACTACCTTCAGTGCTTTAAATACTGCATGCTCATTCTAAGTATAATGGGGACTTTTTGGGTGATGTCCCATTAGTTTGAAAGACCACCACTTTTTGGTGGCTAACTTCCTTTAGGTCTCAGCTTAGAGGTCACCTCATCTGGAAAGCCTTTCTCAGTCCCCTAAGACCGAATTGTGTCCTCTTCCTGCATGTGTCCACAGCAGCATTTACTTCCCTTAAAGAACACCACTGTGTGAAGGGAGCCTTTTACCTCTTTTTCACATTGAACTTAACACTTTCTTTCTCTTTTCAGTTCCTGTCCATAAAGTCCAATGTACCAGCCTCATAGTAAGTTGAAAAATATTTCTGGAGTTATTGTATCAAAAATGAGTTTTGATCTGGAAGACATCTAACCCCTCTTAGACTTAACTTCATCTTCTTCAACTGGGAGTTACACATGTTTTAGTGACCTCCCAGTGTCCTGTGTTGTAGGTACCTAGAAAGAACTATATGTGATGTGATTAGCACCCTCCAGTCCTTTTAGGTTTAAGATGAGGTGTAAATATGAAATATGCTATATACATATAAGGAACTGAAAGTTGTATTTGGCTAAAGGTCTCAGGAGAGCATAAATATTTACTTCCACCGGGCCAGAAGCTATTGAAAAGATCCAGATTTACTGGATTACCCAGTGAAATACCATTTTGGCATTATGATAAGTACATCAGTGTTCTGAAACAGTGAACTGTGAAGGTATACTTGATTTCAATACCATAATTTTGACTTAAAAAATAAATATGTAAGACCAATTTAGGGAATAAATAATCTAAGCATATTTCACAATACAGTCATTACCTTAGTGTTATTGCTACTAGTGTGGTTATTATTTTGATAGGGTGTGGAGAAAAGATTTTACGTTAGGACTATGCCAGCTGGCATATGTTAAGAATTTATGTCAAAATAATTCACTGCTACTTCTTTTAGATGGCCTTTTTGGTTTCAATAATTGTTTCTTACCCTTCTTTCTCTCCTCAGTTCACATCCAAACAATCTTTACTAGAAAGAAATATTTTGTAGAGTTCCACTTGTAAAAATATTGAAAGATATTCAGTATATATATGTCCGTAATGCTTTTTTTTTTTTTTTTTTTTTTTTTTTTTTTTT